AAAGAGTTACTGGCATTTTTACCTTTTTATATGTTTTTTCCTCATTTGGTTTTCCAGCTGTGGCATCTCCATTTTCAGTAACAGACGACATCTGGAGAGACACAAAGCTTCAGTTTACATAGTTTATTTTAAAGGCAAAAAAGTATCTCTTCTAGTTTATTTTTCTCTGTTTATTAAGTACATGTATTTTAGAGGACAACAGATCACAAGAATAATATCTTCTTCCATGAAAAAATTAGTTGCAGATCCAAGTTTCTTTAACACTCACTTAAAATCAAGATCCAAAATAGCAGCTAAGTAAATATTTTATATGATGTTACATGTCTCTTTCAGTAGGCAGCCCAAGATTACCCCAGCGTTTTGTGTCTCATACTGCACTAAGAAGTCACATTATTAGCTTGAACTTTCGCAAACTGATTCTGACCTCTAAAACATTTATGTTCTTTTGTGTTTTACTCTACCTTCCCATCCCCCTACAACTCTTTCTCAGTTAGCAGGTAGAGGTCATTGATGCTTTGATTTAAGCATACACTTTCAGTTTATTCAAGAAACAATAAGTAAAACCAGACACTGCAATAGCACCAAAAAGCTGTGGCACTGCATTATTCACATGCATGATCACAGTCACCCACCTTTCTTTATGGCTCATCAGCAAGTTTCATATTTATGAAATTGTCTGTTTTTATACTTAAGCCAACTTGAATTAACTTTTCTTATGGTATGTCTCTTCATTGCTCAATGCATGAAGAGACTACCAGAGCTAGTTCTGAACTGAGAAAAAGCAAGTTATATACCTGGGCAAAGCACAACATTAACATAGCTTGATGGCTTTCAGTACCCAAGCCAGCCCATTTAGAACTAACTCAGGTATATTTATACAACAATCCACTGTGCTGTACGGGCATAACCTTATGTCCCTAACAGATGTTACACTCAAAATGGTTAATCACCATTAAACACTTAGCTGGTTAATCACAATTGAATGCTTACATCTGGTTAATCAAGTCTTAAGTAGTGAACTGGTTACACATTCATTCAATTAATGGTGTGATAAAATGAGGAATAAGCACAAAGTTATTACACAAAATATATGCAATAACTCTGTGACTGCTTCCTATCACACCTTTAACTGAACATCTGGCCAGTGCCCAGACCCTGGAGCACATTGAAGTTTTTCAAGACTCCGGTGGGCTCCAGAGATTGGGAGCACTCCTCAGCCAATCAGGGCTCCCAGCCAAAGGCAAGCAGGAATCTAAAGCTTGCCACTTGCTGGTACAGGGGGAGTCCAAGATTGGGCTCCTTCTGCACTGGCAATATGGTGCCATGGGATCTGATGTGGGATCCTACAATCGCACAAGTGACATGGAGATAGCACGATTGTTTGCACCTGGCATCAGATCCTGATGCAGCCTCCAGCCCCAGCCCACCCTCACCCCCCACACAGATCCAGGGGGCACATCCCCCCCAACCCTCTCCCAGGGGTGCATGCTGTGGTGGGGGCTGTCCCCCCCACCTCCATGCCTCCAGACGAGCCAAAGCACTGTCCTGTGTCCCACCTCTGCTGGGCAATGCTTGCCCCTTCCCCAGCCCCACTCCCTCCCTCACTACAGGGGCCTTGATCTGGTCCCCCATGTCCCTTCCCTCCCCCCCACCTCCTTTTGCCCACAGACTTACAGGGCTGGACTCTGCTCTTCAGGCTTCTGACCTGCACTCCTGGTCTCGTGCATGCTGCGGCTGTGCACATGCACACAGCATTTTATCGGCAACATTATTGTTCACATCAGCCAAAAAAAGCAGATTGCCGATAATGTCAATTTTCCTTTTAATCAGTGCTGATACAATATGGGCTGATGTATCAGTGCACCTCTCCCAAATAAGTATGGAAATAAGGTGTACTCCAAGTGTGGCAGTCCAGAGAAGAAAGACTTTAAAGTGCATGTTAAATCCTTCTGGATTTTAGCAACAGGAGAAATCAACATACCTTTCTGAGCTAAAGTGCTAGTCATTTGGAGCAAAGAGGGAGGGTCAATCCATTCATCGATGCTGCCAATTTTTCTAAATTCCTGTTAACACAAAAATCAATCATTTATATGATCTGGAACTGACCTCTCTCTTTCTGCATTAGAATTTGACAAGACTGTCCAAGCAAACTAAAGTCTGGTTACAAGGGGTACCTATACACAAGCAGGCAGGCTGCTCCAACGTGCTATAATCATAGTGAGTCTGCTGGAGCATGGAAATTACCGCACTTCAGCAGCCTCCAGCACCTTGTATATCAGTGCTCCCACACTTCAAAGTGGTGGTGGGGGTGCTTTATCTAAAGCTCCTTTTGAAGAGCTTTAGATAAAGCACCCCTGCCACCATTTTGAAGTGCGGGGATGCTGATACATGAAACTCTCTGGGCACTTTAAATTAGAGTGGCTCTCCCCCCATTCCGAGAGCACATGTATAAACACCCAAGCTGGGCTGTGCAAGAACTTTCTCAAATGGTTTTTATGACTAACAGGTTATTTAGTGTATTCAGTAATTAGTTTTTCTTACACTGAATAAAATCAGTGTGTTCAAATATGCTTTTGGGCTAGATATTTTGCTACTGTGTCACTGACATTGTTGTTCTAACGTAGTTATACAGGGCCATAAATTTACACGGTACTTCCAGAATACAATTTAAACATATCCTCTGCCCTGAAGAGCTTTTCAACAAGAATACCAAATCCTTATAACTGTTACCTGCTTACAAAAACCAGACTGAGGCAGGTAGTCCTACTGGAATTAATAGGACTACTCGCATGATTAGATTTCCAGGATTGGGCACTGTAAGATTAAAAGTAACCTAAAAACATTTCAAAATGTATTCATAAATTAGTAATTACAATGCAACACAACATCTTTTCACTTGGGTACAATTAAGGTACTGTAATTACACAGTTAATACATTATCAAATGCATCTTGCTTGCTTTAGTCATGTCAACAAGATTACTTGCATAAATAAATCGTAGAAGTGTCATTTGACATGCCTTTGGAAATATCCGTTTCTGCATTTACTCTTTTAAATAAATGCTATAGCCCTGTGACAATAATTCAATGTTGTTCTTTCCGTGATCACATTGGCAAAAATCAAAATGCTATTTCTCTTTTAAACAATTTAAATAGCTCTTATATTAGAAGCTATTTTTAACAGAAGTCTAAGGTTAGAATCTTTGTCATTTGAAAGTACTTGTATAGCACTCTCCCCACAAAAGACTACTTTCAAGAAGTTTATGTTAAAGCAGCAATCTTCTCCTGGCAGCTAAAGAATACGAATGCTCACTGGGATTCAACAAGGCTTGTATGTCAGGCGCACATCAGTGGAAAGCTAATTTCACTATTCAAAACTAAAAAAAGAAAGTATTTAACTCAAAATTTCCTGTGACGTGGACCTCCCAATATCGTACATCAACATTTTTCCACCTGTCACGAAGTACATTCTTCATTTTAAGCTTTCTGTTAACCAATTAATATCTTAATTATTAATTACGTGACTTTCCCATATCCTGCTATCATATGTAAAGCTTCCAAGGATGTTGAAGAGAGGAAAAATACCCTTTATACTAATTTAATAATATAATTATCTGGAAATATGCATGGCTTTTATAACATTAGGCATTGTTGACAGTGAGATGTTTAACCATACTGATACCAGAATGTATCCAGCAAGAGCCATGGCTACTCATTTCTCCAGAAAAAATTATAACTTTAACTTTCAGTATAGAAACTTTACTATGGTTACTTTATTAAAATTGAAGCCTTAAAAAAATGACCTGAAACACACATCTTATACTACTCCTCAAACTACCCCTAGATATCATCAGACCTACTCCGAGAAAGTCAAACATGAATCTGGCATAGGAATCCACAGTGCAATAAATGTTAGTTGATGAAAACATTCATGCCAGATCTGGAAGAAAAGCCTGTTTGTGCCCAAGATAGTTAGATAAATCATTCAAGAACATTTCATTCATGTGAAAAATATGCCCCTGTAATGTTGCCAAGGTTAGGGGAGACAGATGGTGATCTCCTGACTACAGTAAAAACTGAACATGCAATTTAAAACTGTGAAGAATGCAGCACTAGTCTATTTGTACTAGTTTCCCCCATTGTTCGGAGGACCTGGCCCAATTAGAACAATCCCTTAAATCAGTCATTCTCAATCTTTTATTTTTTTGACTCAAGGCAAGCCCTCTATGGGCTCAAGGCTCCCTTACATACTTTTTGTAAGTTGAGCGGCATTCAATTTAAAAAACTAATTTATATATCACAATTCTTACAAATGGGGCCACATAGTGGGAGAAGGGGATCATCAAGGCAGGGACAAGACTGAGCCTGTGCTTAGCTACTCATCTCTTTGCACATGACTTATCTCCTCACATCCCATGGCACCCTTCAAAGGATCTGGCAGCACCTTGGTTAAGAATCACTGCCTTAAATCCTGCTCTATAGACTAACTAAATCAGAGATACATAGCATTAGTTTTTGTTAGAGGTGCTCTGATACATTGGTCCCATATCAGATCAGCACCGATATAAGGAAAATTGACACTACTGGCAATCAGCTTTTTTGGGCTGTTGTAGCCAATGTCACTGATAAATGCCCTGTGCAGCACAGCACGCAGGTGGCCAGGAGTGTAGCCAGGTCTGGCTGGTAAGTCTGCTGTGAGGGAAGGGGTGCGGGGAGATTGAGGGCCCCAGAGGTGAGGGAGGAACTAGGAGTGGGGCAGGGGCAGAGGCAGGTGCTTGACAGCCGGGGCAGGGTGCGGGACAGAGCAGCAGGCAGCTCAGCTGGGGGTGGCGGCTCCCACTGCTGCATGCATCCCGGGAGGGCATGAGGGGGCATGTGCCCCTGAATCTGTGCACAGGGCGAGGGAGGGCTGCTGCTATGGGATGGGGCCTGGGGTGGTGCTGGGCTCTTCTGGGCAGGGGGGTTGGGCCAGCGCTGCTCTCAGGGTGGATGGCAGTGGTGCTCAAAGCAGAGGCTACGGCCAATTTTGGAGTGGCTGCAGTGCCCCCCACCCCCATAGTTTCCCTCCCACCTGTGCCACCTCCCTCCCCAAGTGCAGCCTGGCCTGGCCCCCTGCTGGGAAGAGCACAGCACTG